AGGCAGCATCCTTTATTTTCCCCACATTTGATCATGGAGATAGAAAAAGGTACTTTCAGTTTTGGCTCTCTGGGCTAGAGGACTCAGAGGGAGATAGTCATGCTGGGATAGTCATTGTTTTTTGTTATTATTCTTCCCTGGAAACTCTTTGGTGTATCTAAGGTAACAGGGGATATTTCTGAACCCTGCAAATCCCAAAGAGCTTTGTAAGTAGGACAGAAAAAAATCTAGGCATATGCAATTACTTTGATTTAATCTGATAGAGTATAATATAGTGATTAATTTATTGCAAAGCACAATTTTACCTTTATGCAATCTCTTTAGGCTATCAATACTGAGCTTGAAGATGCAATACGTGAAAAAGAAGAAATGAAAACCAGGGTTCATAATTATATAGCTGAAGTCTCCAGATTTGAGACCTTGATAGCTTCAAAGGTAAAAATGTAATCTCTAGGCAGTCATTACTGCATTCAGTAAAACAAAGTAAGAATTACATGGTTTGGGTGCTGTTCTCCCTGCCCGTCCTATTTTCTTTTATTTTTCCTGCTTTTCTCTGCAGTGTTTAAAGCTACTAGTGAGGGATTCATGTAACACCTTGTTAGATCTGAAGCACTGATTAATTCTATTAAGTATTCTAATAATTAATATTAATTCTATTAGCTTTTCCATTCTAATATCACAATTTCATCAATCATGTTTCAGTTGGCCATAATGCTGGTGAATGAGAAACATGTCATGTTTGAATGTTATTTTGCTTTTTGGGTTTTGACAGGCAATCAGTAAAGTAACAGGTACTGTTTCATTATTGTGGGCAGCTTATAAAATTATTTTAATTATTTTACCCTTTTGGAAAAGAAAAAAAATTATCTGTTGTTCTGCATGAAAATGTAAAAATAGTACTATTAAAATAGTGCTCTGATTAAATGTACTTTATCCTGATACTTGGATTCAAAAGTGTGATATACATGAGTTGAAACTTAAAATCATTTAAAAGGATTTATGTCAAGACAACATGAACTGGGAAATTTGTTATGTGACTTTGAATTGGGAAGAATAAGTTTTGATCTGACTTCAACTTGCATGTCTAGATGAATGCATGTAAATGCAACCACTTTTTACAAGTGGAAACTGAAGAATGGAGAAAAACTTAAGGTCAGTAGTAGATTAGCTTAAAACTATCAATCTAAAATACTTGAAGTTTATTTTATAAGAATTTTAAAATATATCATGTGTCTGAAGTACACATCATATCATCTACTTCAGCTATAGACATGGCTACAGCTTTGGCAAATGATAATCCAGTTACTCAAGTTGGGTACCAGGAAGCTAGAATGCATAGCCAGCAAGCAAATATGAATAATTGATAGGGATGCTTGCAGGGATTTTTCTTGGATTATATCTGGATTATCCTATGGAGACAAGGATTTACTTTTCTGCATGATTTTTGCTTGCTAGATCACAGGTTTGTATTTCTTAATGCTCCACCTGATCTTCTCTGCATTTTCCAAGTTCTGCAGGATACACAGAAGGAATTGCAGGAACAGTAGCCTTTCTCATTAGATAAATCTGATTTATACTACCAACCTGCATATCCCACTGCACATTACATGAGCAGGGAATGGAGGTAAATAAGAAAAATTTATCACTGCCTTATAATACGTACTTGGCCAAACTAAAATTCAAAAGCAACGTTTGTTCTATCGCTGCACAAATGTAGAGCACCAAAGCTTGCATTTTTGTATCTCTGCGATAGACTGCTTAGGTATATATGCTCTAGTGGATTACCAGTGTTTCAGGCACTGCTGTAATACAAGTATTTATAGGAGCACAATAACTAAAAGACCTGAAAATGGAATTTCTTGGAAAGGGCAGCATGCAGTGTATCTCAGTAACTTGACCCTTGACAATGCAGAGAGATCCAAAATAACCCCTCTCCTGGGAGCTAAAAACTCAATAACAACTTCTAAGTGTAAGTGCTTACATTTTAATAAATCTGAATGCCATCATTGTGTTTATTTGCTATTTGGACTTGGAAAAGGGATGATCCCCTTTAGTAGTTGCCAGACAGTGGGATTAAGAAAATGAAGGAGGTTATACTTTCTGTGGGAAAAAAAGAAGAGATACTGTAAGGAGTAGGCATGAAATAAGATCAAACAACTCGAGGGTATTTTGATCATTGCAGAGCAATTTACTGTTTCATTAGGAAAAAGAAAACCAAGAATTGTTAGAGAAGTTCCGGATGCTTCATACACAAGCTGAAGACTGGGAAATGAAGGCTCATCAAGCTGAAGGAGAAAGCAGCTCAATACGACTGGAACTCCTTTCAGTAGATACAGATCGGAGACATCTTCGAGAGAGAGTAGAATTTCTGGAAAAAGAGATTCAAGGGGTAATAACTTGTGCAATGAAATTCCATCTAGGAAAGCAGGATACATCCAAGTGCTTTTTAATAAAATAAATATATGATTTTTAATGGCTGCAAGTAAGTTCTGTATGTGAATGTTTCAAATATGAACACTGGAGTTTTTGAAACAGTAACTGATTTTGTTTAGATGTGCTTTCCTTCACCCCTGCTTGCCCAAAATTAGAATAATGCCATATATTTTCATAGTTTTAGATCGCTTCTGTTGGGTTATCACTTACTATGACATTGTAAGAAACTTTTGTTTAGTTGCTATAGAATATTTGCATATAGCTTTATAAGTATTTGCAAGCTTAGTTCTTAGGTTTCTTTGAAGCTTTGAATGAATTATTTGAAGTACTGGTGGTTGGAGTCAAGGTAAAAATTTGGTAGACATCCAAATTCAGAATCAGTATTCCATAATACTGAATCCTAGACCAATATCACAGAATATAATAAGGTTTATATTTTAGAAGCAATAACTTCATAGAGACCAGAGAAGTTCTAGAGCATAATTGTTGTGGATTGACTACATTTTGTCCCATGCTTTTAATTAGCCAGAAAGTGTTAGAGACTATATTACAAGCTGAGTTAAAAATAGACTGTATGTTTTGGGTTTAAGCTTTTTCATTCTTGTTCCACCCTTTTACAGTACTTGTATAATTATTCAAGTTGGTGATTAAAATTGCAAAGATGGTTTATTAGTTGCCCTTAGCTATATTTTAGAGGGAGGGAAGGAATATTAAGTTAATTTTATAGGGAAAATTAACTTCTAAGAGAAAATAGTGTTAAAAAACCCAGGTTATTCAGCAGTAAACTCTTAAATTTAACACTGAAAATATATCCATATTTGGTTTTGTTCAGCATATTGTTGCACATCAAGTATATGAATCTCAGATCTCCTCCATAACGAAAAACATATCCAGACTGGAAGAGGATCTTAAACGTGAAAATCAGGAAAAGGCTTCTGTGTTGGCAGACCTCACTTCTGTGAGAGAACTCTGTGTGAAACTTGAGGCTAACAAAGAACTTGTAGCTCGACAGCTGATGTCCAAAAGCATGGATTATGAAAGGGTAAGCAGCAAAGGCAAATTTAATTTGCTATAGCAGAGTAACTTCTTTTACTTTTAATAGTTTTTTGAGAAAATAATTACTTCTGAGAGCAAGGTAAGTTAATTTACATCATTGGTTTTGTGTTTTCATATAAATTATAAATTTTACAGTATACATATCTGTAGCTGTGGGTTTTGTACAAAAAGAGGGAGTTTCTTTGATTAATTATCACTGCAAAATGTTGCAGTTGTAGTTTTAGCTGTACCACAAACAGATTATAAATATTTCTTTTTGGTTTTTAATTTACTCAAACTTTATAAAAAGCAAATAGTGCACTTCTTATTTAGATAGTAAAGACATTACCCTAATGGCTTCTTTTCAGTTACAAAATTTAGATACAGCTGGAATTAACTGAATATTTTGAAATAATTTAAACAGTTCTAAATATTCATATTTTCTGAATCATTTTCTTTACAGCTGATTTTGCCTTCATTTAGGGACTTGGTCAGCCTTTCTGGGACTGTAATACTCAAGACCTTGAGAACAGTAAAATTTCTTTATATTCACAGAATTGAAGAGGAAAACAACTATTCCTACATTTTCAGCAAAAGCCAAGAGGCTAATTGTGAGCTGACCTAGTCAAATAGAAAGAAGTATAGTAAATACTACTTTTGTACTTGTGCAAAGTTCTACTGTTAAAAGCTAATTTGTGTTCCAGGTACTTACCTAAGCATTTCCAGCACTCAGTAATGCAGCTCCCATTAAAACATTTGATAGATGTACAGCTTGAATAGTTTTAAATTAAGTATAGTTTAAAATAATTGTAGGCTTTACATTATTTTGTGAGCTCAGTTTCCTGTTCTGTTTTATGAAACTTTGGATCATTTCTGTCTTTGTAACAGCTCTTCACAAAATAAGTTTTTCTGTGTTTGTAAATTAGTGTATTAATAACATAAAAAATTTGTGCCTTAGGTTCTAGGAGAATTAGAAGATATAAAATCAGAAACAGAGTTGCTGAAAAAGCAGCTATCCAGTGAGAGACTTACAGTTCAGAATCTTGAAACGTTATTGGCTACTAGTAGAGACAAAGAATTTCAAAATCAATTAATGTCTCAAGAGAAAGATACCGATATTCAGTTACTGAAAGACAAGCTGACGCTGGCTGAAAGCAAACTGTAAGTTTTAACAAATGTTTGTGTGTGTTATGTGGTTTTGCAAAAGAGCTTTCTATGTGAGAATACTTATTCACAAAATCTGGGTGTTTGGTGTGGCTGAGCAGATTTTTTGCAGCACTGTCTTCTGGCTTTTCATTGCATCAATTACTTTAAGTTTCTTTACAGGTCTTTCGTATTGCTTTCAATTAATCAGCACCTTAGTGGACATCGGTTTAGTGCAAACAGTAAACTTAAACAGGAGTTCCAAAGTGTTTACTGCTCACAAAAAAAACCCCAAGTATCTTAAATTCATGATAAATATGAATTGCTTATCTACTGAAGATGCCTGTTGTCCTTGCTTTGGTTAAAGAGTCACTTAGATAATAAATAGTGAAGTTGTAGTGGTTTAGAAAAAGCAAAAGTACTTTTGCTGCTGCTGATATTAACTGTTAGGGGAAAAGTCCTGTATCACTTATTATTCCTTTGAAATACAAACAGAACTAGACCTGACACCTACACTAAATGTGGCCAGCAACTTCTGCTGGGGATCTGCCTAAAGAAGCAATAACTTTTAGCAACACTTGTATAAGAAAGACTAATCTATTTGGAACAATGAAGTTAAGAGGTATTTGTGTGTGAAAATCATGTACAAGAGAACTGGGAGATTTAAAAATTTGTCTTCATGGTATGGAGCAGGGAATTTGAAGTTTCCTGAGGTGTCATCTTAGAATTATTTGGGTTGAAAAAGATCCTTAAGATCATCAAATCAAGCTGTTAAACAAAACCTGCAAGTATCATGTAATAATTGTAATAATTCTCCTAAGGATACATCAGCAGGGATTAGTGGTATCTCTGCATTAAATAGCAAGAAGGAGTAGCAGCTGAATGCAGATGGTGGTGAAGAGTAAAATCAAAGCAGAATTTCAGACAAAGAGTGAAGTCAAAATCAGAATTTCACCCATTTAATAAACACTAATACAGAGAGAGAAAGGAAACATGGAAGTTAATGGAACAGGCAATACATCTGATGGGATATAAAATATTTTGATATAGAATATCTTGGAACTTGGTGATGCAGATGTGCAAGAGATATGCTTTTGGTTGAATTATATAGAGGCTAAAACTTGTGGCTTATGATAGTCCACCTGAAGTAGCAGTGATCTCAGTGAATCTGGAGATGATGACATTAATATTGCCCCTACACAGATAATTGCTTCATGTTTTAGTATTGCTAGTTTTTGTTTTCTTGGGGAAAAAGTATCAATGGCATACAATGAACATAAGCTGATAGACTGTCCTGATTATGAAGTTCAATGTGAAAGTTAGAGAAAACACAAACTTAACAAAATCCCAAAATACCCAAACAAAACAAAAAGGAAAGAAGCAATTTTTAAATTACCTTTTTTAAGTTAAATTGAATTCAGTTACTTTGTGTACAAACATTATTAAACACTGTTTAACTATGTACAAAGTAATTTTTTCACTTTTTCTTTTGCGCACTTTGTAGGGTTCATTTGTTTTGTGTAAATGTCAATACTTGCAGTGTTAATAGGGTGGGATATTGCAGGAAGAAGGAAAATGTTCTTTTGGAGAAAGAGTGGCCATTCTGTTGAATTGCTTTCCACTTATTATCTCAGAGGTTCTACATATTACTAGGCAAGTGTTCAGGTGTGAGAACTAGTTGTATATACCTTATTTTCTACTATTTGGTTTGTGGTAGTTGCAGTCTAAAGAGCAGGAACTTTAAATGCTCACAGCTGTGACTGAAGTATGTGACAATGATGTTTGTGTCTTGCAAAATACAGAAATTAATTTGGCTTGTCAGAGTTTCAGCTCTAACTGACAAAAAAAACATGTGCCAATATTTTTGAATATTATTTAAAGTTTTGGCTTTATAGTACCTGTCCTTCCACTTTCTTTAGTAAATGACACTGCTACAACCTTTGACTTTAGAAGGATTCTCAGAATTAAGTTTAACTTGTGAAATTCTCCAGTGCTGTAATTATGAGTTGGGTAAAGAGTAAATAGCTGTGTTACTTTGAGTACTACAAGGGTGATAGTACAGTAAGTGAGATCTTGATGCTCTAGAATGATTAAAGAATTAAATAAACAGAGAATATGGAATAGCCAAGCTACTTGTTGAGAGCTATGTGTATCTACTGTAAAAGAGACAGATGTCCTCTGAAAATCACGTATCATAATGTAAACTTATATGATGATTACTGTGCATAAAGGGTTTAAAAATATTTCTAAAATTTGGAGTTATTTACTTAATGCTCTTAATTTTGTTTAAATGTCATTGACATGGAATAACCTCAGAACTCACAAACTGTTTGCTTTCTTTCCTTATTTTACAATAATGATATTGGGCCCTGCATTCTTACCTCCATCCTGAAAGTGTATGCCTGTCTTTGAAGGACTTATAAAATATCATCAAGATGTCTTGTCTTCTGCATCTGTTCTCAACATACTGGATCAAGATACCATTCTAGGAATTTTGATGAATAGGGAACATGGGAAAAATATTCTGCAATTCTATTTGGAGCAGATCTTTTAAGTAGTTTTCATCTTCCTGGAGCGGGTGCCAGACAGGAAGTCTGTGACTGAGCTAGGAGTGGAACTCATTTTTCAGAATTCCAATCCAGTGCTTTAGCAATAAGCAAGTACAACTTTGCTTCTCCAGAAGTGACTTTTCAGCACTCCACCTCACAGTGGCTTTGAAGACTGTATGGAATAAGACTGTCTAGATTCTTGTTTAGACAACTTATTTTGCATGCAACAATTTCTTTTTCTTCCATTATAATGTAATTGATGGTATTTTGCAACCAAGCATTGAATAGGGCAAGCTGATGATTTACTAAGAAGTATATTAATCATGTTTATTAAGATTTCAATCTTAATCAAGATTAAATTCAATCTCCTTTTAATTTTGATTCTTGCAATTGAAACAGTTGTGCCCAAATGCCAGGGGTGTAGTTAACAAGCATTCAGAGTCTGGGTTTTGCTGGTCTGGTATTTGCTTTAATGCAATTTTTATGTAGATTTGATCCAGTTGTGTTCTTGGCTAGCCAGATAGTTCCAGCCTACTTGATACAATTTTTACTGAAGCCATATCTGTTAAGTTTGTAATTTTTTGTAGCTACTTACTACTTTTTTCTTCTTTTTTTACATAAAGACCATGTAAAGTTGCAACAGAGGACAGCAAAGCAATAAACTAATGTTTTAATTATTTTGTCTGGCTTTATCAAACATGTTTGTGTTTACCTTTATATGAAGAAGAGAACAATGTAGTCAGGAGGTAGTGAGAGGCTTGCCAGCTTCTTGCTACGTTCTCACCTTGGGTTCTTCCAGGAACATTGTGTTGCATTTATTTGATTCCTGGTGCTTCTAATTTGTCTTTGGTTTAGTCTGTGAAACAACATGGTCTGTATCGGGTTTTGTTGTATCTTGCTGTAACTTCTCTAAGCTCCTAGCTGACACTGTTCAAAGAAAACTTTGTTGCTTCTCATGATTTCTTTTTTTAGAAGCAGCAATAATAGAGAGGTTTCCATACTTCGAAGTAAAGTTGCACAAATGCAGACTGAGTGTGATGTTTTAAAAAGGAAACTGACAACTGAGCGATTTGAACGGTAAGATTCAGGTTTTTCAGTGAGTTGACTTTTCCTCCTTATTTCTTCTTTCTCACTTTTAAAACTGTTGCTTTTTTCAATAGTGAGGAACTTTTATGGAAAACTCTCGTCCTCTTGTTCTGCAAAATCTAGTGTTTTCATCCTGAAAACTGCATAATTAAAAAATAAAAAAATCATATACATTTTCTGAATTTCTTTGTAAGTTTTGTGAGTTTACCACTGCCTGTAAAAAAAAAAAAAATCCCTTCTCATGAAAATAAAATAGAACTGGGTGACTTTACAAGAAAGTGATAGTTTCTGCAAAGTTGTATTTTCTCCCTTTACGACCGTGCAGTACCCAAGTGTTGTGTAACGGAGGTTGCTGTCTGTTGGCAGGGAGCGAGCGATTCAGGAGATGCGTCGCCACGGCCTCTCCACGTCCTCACTCCGGGCTTCGCCTCCCCTCAGCTCCACACTGAGATCTCCCTCGCATTCTCCAGAGCGCAGCGCTGGGAGAACTGATCAAGCAGCAGCTGAAAAGTAAGGGATTTGATTTTAGCAGATCATTTCTATTTAAGAGTTACATTTAAACTGTTTCTAGATGATATCTTTGTGATTAAATGAAATTGTTACACATTTCAGAGGTTTCTAAGTTCTGCTTTTGCTGTCTCTCCTACTATAAAATATTGATTACAACCGATAAATGCAAAGTACTCTCCAAAGACCATATAATATAATGGATTCTCATTCCTCTTTTTCTTAATGGTCTTGCATCACCTGACAACTTTCAAATATATGTTGCCTGTGTATTACCACCATTAATTATATCCAAATATACTTTACCAGTTTATTATTGTTAATAGTTATCTCAAACAATTAATGGTTCATATTAAGAGGAATGCCATGAAATTCTCCTGAGTACAGCAATGGGGGAAAGACAATCCACAGAAGAGTATGACTAAAATGCATTTGAACCCTATGCATTAGATAAAACTATCTCCAAAACAAGTGCATACAAATAATTAATATATTTTTCATTGTTAGTGCTTAAATCTACAAATGTCTAAGATTAGTGTGATCGCTATAGTCCATGAAAAAGAAATTGAAATTACCCTCTAACCTGTTTTCACTGTCATTTTTGTTCTTTTAGAGATCATTGTTGTTTTAGATGATGCCAGTTATGTGTTACAGGACTGATTACTGACTGTATATCCTGCCTGTCCTATACTGAATAATAAATTGTAGTGAAAAGGGACAGGGCGGGATAAGAGTGATTGTTGTAGGAAATATGTGTGCTCTGACAGCTCATGAATCTAACTAACAGATTTTAAAGTTTATTTTTATTGGTAAATACATATGGCTTATTCTAAGCTTACTTTTGTTAACAAAAATACAGGTTTCTTGAGAACTGAGCTCAGCGTGGCATGAACCCACATTGTCAGCAATTTTTCTCTTCTGCGAATTTTTGGGCAAAGCAGAAAGTGGAAACTGTAGCAAATGAGATACTGACAGTGGGGATGAAACAGCAGATAAGCCTTTTGCTTTACTGGTGAGCCCCAAGGCATACCCTGTTGTGTTGCAAAACAACATTTTGACTGAGATGATGACAGATACTGTATTTCTGAGAATGAGTATCATCAGTAGAGAATTCTCTTTAGTCTTCCTTGCTTTACAGTGAGTCCTGAGAGCAATAAGAAGTGCAGTTGCTATGTTTGGAGGGTACCATGTAGTGCACTATTTTTATCTAATATTTGTATCCCTAGTTTTTACAGTATCTATACCATATCTTACCAGAAAATATCCCATTTTCATGAAGTGTGTATTTTTAAAGAAGGTGGTTTTTAACAACTGAATTCACATATAGTTGTTATGCATATTTTGCCTTTTAAATGTAGCAATTACTGTAGAGTGATCTCAGCAGTACTCTTACCATCTTTCATCCTTGTTTATTCCTTCTTGGGAGCTTACCAGAGTGAAGTGTAGTCTGTAATTACTGTTCTGTAGTGTTACTGCTGTCATTCTTTAACCTGATTAATCTTCTCAAGAAATTTTCTCTTCCTCCTTGTCTCACTTTTACTTTTGTAAATAATTTTAGCTGTGGGCCAGTGGTGTAGAGTTTTAAGTAATATGCTAATTGCTGATATTTGGGAATAACAGAAGAGCATCTGAGGAGGCTAAAGCTAATTACTATTTTTTATCCTAATATTAAGTAGTAAAATATAATAGTTACCTTTATTTTGACATCTTTTCTTTCTCCACAGAAGTGTGACCTTCAAGGAATAACCAGTACTTGAGTAACCGAAGCATTACCTTGTGACAAGGACTTCTTTTTTATAAATTATGAATACTGTCTTGTATTTTACCTCTGTTTTCTTCAAATCAGTGATTACCTTTGAAACCTCTGAGAACGGGTGAAGTAATCAACTTTTCAAAATTCTGCTTTCCCAACTGGCAGGAGTGACTGACTTTTTCCTGGCTGTTTGACAGGTTTTATATCAAGCCTGGCTAAGTTTGGTTACTATTTTGGAAACATAGTAGTTATAAGAAGGAAATGAGTACTTGATTTGACAATCTTTTACGATTTTATTTGTTTGTTTATCTCATATGTTTGTAGAAGTTTATTCATCTTAATGTGAGCTAACATGGAATAAAATCCCCGACTGTGTTAAAAATGCTGAGCCAGTTTTCTACTCATGCTGATTTCCTATGTTTGTGCTTCTAACAAGTGTTTTCTGTTTTCAGGTTATTCTTTATGGTATTTAAAAGTATTGATTATCTATTCTGTGAGTGCATTTTGTTTACTGAACCTTTTCTCAATAAAAAATACATATCAGTTATTCTTTATTACTGTTTCTGTCAATCTCCTTTTGTTTCACCTTTGTGTGAAATTGCATTTTAAATATGTCCATATTTAATAAAAAGTGAAGAGAAAAATTTTTAAAGATGTATTGAAATACTTTAAATACTGAAATAAATCAAAGTATTTTATATTCAAACTTTTCAATCATATCTGGAGATGTTTTTCAAATTTTTATATTAAAAGCTCAGAGCAACACCTGGAATCATTCACAGTTAAGCTCAAGCTGTTGGAGAGGTGACAAAGGACTTTATGTTGTGACATACATATTAGGTAAATGAAGTGAAACTGTTCTTGAAAATACCTGTTGTGTTTAGAAGAGGAGCATTTCAAACTTAGGCTTTGAAGTAAGATGCAATTAGGAATATACAGCTTTCAAATAATTACACACCAGCAGGGTGACATGGTGTCTATTCATAAGAATTATACATAGCACTAGAAATGGGAGGATGCATTGCTGCACATCCTTGCACTGGCCAAAAGGTCCTGTTCTGCTTGCCTAACATCCAGTAAAAAGCTGTGATTACCAGCTAACATTGCAAGCATCTCTAAGATGCAAACATATTAAATAACATGGGAAAATTATATATAATTATATTTTATATATATATCACATCACATATTATATACATTGTCTATGGTATTATATATAAAATAACATTGTGCTAACTGGAAATATTGTATCATATATATTAAATTTTACTGATTAAAACCATCTTAGATCACCAATTCAGAAGTACCTTTAGGTTTCTCAGCCATGTAGGAAACTGTGTATCCATGGTGGGTGCATCTTGTGCATTTTACTTTCTAGGTCTTTCATTTGCCACATACAGGAATGAGGAGGTTGTTGTCTCTAACTCTTACTTACCTATTAATACTGTTTGTAATTAAGTCAGTAGTTTCCACTGATGCTAATTGGTGTTAATTATTCAGGTTGATTTAGTAAGAAGGAAAAAACTCATGTCCTGCTCTCAGTGTCTTCAGTGGTGACTTTTAAACTTCCTATTTTGTAAATTAACCCTTTTAAATTGGAATTATTTTTTTAAAAGCGAGTGTTCCACTTTATTGAAAACAGTGTATTTCATCTTACTGAAAAGTGGATATTTTGGCATTACAATTAAAACCATAAGACTTCAATTAACAGTAATTCCTACATGGCTATATCAATTACAAAGAATTAGGACCTCAATGAACACAGTGTTATAATAATATTGGTATCATTTTGGTGACCAAAGCCTGTGCAGATTTCTAGTATTAAAACAGTACTAATATTCAGACTGTAATATAGCTGTCAACTTGCCTTTCTGTTAAGCAACTAGAGTAAAACAAAGGTAATTTTTAAATAACTTTGCTTTGAAATCAAGTGTTTCGATCAATGAAGTAGAAAGCAAGCACAAATTTGTGGAAGATTTAAATCTGTGGACTACTGCACATGCTGTGTACGAAATGAGCCTTATTTGGGCAGGATGTTAATGTGGCTCACCTGGAATCTGCTGCAGGAGGTTTCCATGCTGGTCTCACCTTTTGGAAGATCAAAATCACCCTTGGCTGTTGTGTGTAGCCCTCAGCTGGGGTGAGTTGCAGGGGGAGTGTGGCAGACATGAAATTGTGATAAAACTCCATATACTCAAGTTGTCTTGTCTTACTGTCTGCACCTAGGAAGGGGGGAGAATAGCTTTAAAGAAATAATAAAGGAGAAGCAATAATCAATGGGGCTGTTTATCTACAGAACAAAGTCGAGTATCAGAAGCAGGGGAATCTAGAGATAATAAAAGGACAGGTGTTTTCAGTTTATTAAAACCTGAATTTCTCAATTAAACATCATAATGTGTTTTTGAGAAATTCTTAGAATTAGTTGGTTTTAGGGTTTTTGTGTCTTACATTATGTGCCTAAAATTTAGGTGACTGACCTGAAGTTAAGTAAGTAATTCTAGGATTCAGTTGGAAAGCCCACTTTGGTTTTTTGCCTCAATCTGAGAAGCACTGACGTTCATTCCTGTGTGATGCTGATTTAAAAAAAACCAAAAAACAAAAACCGAAAAAACATGAGCAATTCAGTCTTTCAATTTAAACTATTTTATACAGTAATGATGTTTATATGGCAGCATGACCTGGTCAAATGCTGTTATTCCTTAATGAAACCTGCAGGATTTGGGGGGGGTTTAAATCATTCCTTGGGAGAGAACTTTATACTTCTTGTCTTTGCTAGCAGTGTAAGAAACCAGGGTTGTGTGGTTTAGGTATCCTAGTCTTGCAACTTTATGTAAAATGTTACTCCAGTTTCATTTCATCCTCTCACCATGGGCCACAAAGATTGTAGTAGCTGCAGCAGTATTAATCCCTAGACCCAAAGCCTTACCCTTCATCCTGCAGTGTAAATGGTGTGGGGGAGAGGAAGCCTTGATGCTGTGCGAGCGCTGATCATCAGTAGCTGAACGGTGTCCGTGGCTGCTGTGTTACCACAGAGCTTTAGCCACAAAGAGCCAGCCCATCCATCTCCTGTCAGGCTGCAGGGTTGTCTCTGCCACAGTGCAGCAGCAGAGATTCCCTGCACAGGGGCAGCCCCTGCCCACATATGGGCTGCAGACATGGCTTGCCCAAAGTAACCAATTCCCCAGCACACAGTGTCTTCCAAAGGCTCCCAAGACAACACAGACATGGATGTTCTTGGAAAGAGCAGCAAAGAGCCCAAAGATGATTAAGGGATTGGAGCATCTCTCACATGAGGACAGTCTGAGCAAGCTGGGGGTGTTGAGCCTTGAGAAGAGAAGGCTCGAGGGAGGGAGCATCTCCATGTGTAGCTGTGGGCGGGAGTGGGAGTAAAGCATCTGAGACAGTTTCCTCTTAGTTGTATCCAGGGGAGGTACAAGACAATGAGCACAAATTGAAACACAGGGAGTTCAACTGAAATGTAGGATTGGGGTTTTTTCCCATGAAGGTGATCAAACAGTGCAACAGGCTGCCCAGAGAAGTTGTGGAGTCTTCTCCACATACGTATTCAAAACCTTCTTGGGAACAGTCCCGGACAGCCTGCTTGTAGCTGACCCTGTTTTGAGCAAGAGTTGGACAGTCTTCAAAGGGGCAGCAATCCTTCCTACAATTCCCCACGGTGTGATCAGGTGAGTGCTTATCCAGCTGGGGTGAAATTGACCCTTATTATCTATATTATCACCTGACATTTTAAAAATTACAAGTGTAATGGCAATTATTTGGCAATTGGCAAATATAAAAATAATTGCCAATGTTTTGTCTTGATATTAATGATATCTATGTTAGAGCATGGGTGAGTTTTGGAATTTATTGTGGTGGTTGCCTCTCCCACCTTGTGTGTGCTGCAAGGTTAACATTATCCAAGCAGAGCTGCCCCACCAGTGCTGTCAGTGGTGTGTCCTTTACCATTTCAAGGTGATGGATCAGGAATTAAACTAAGTAGAATGGCATGATGGCAAATGGAGGAAAAGGGGGAAAATGAGAATATCAGTAGCCTCTTCTTGGTTTAAATACTCCTGAGCAGGGGTGGCTGTATCTTCATGAATACAAACACAGAAATGAGTTTCAGCATGGTTACTCAGCTGTGAGTCAGTCAAGGTCTGCAGGAGCAGATACTGCTCTTTGGGGAGATTTTCTCTGAGCTTCTAGTCCAAAGGAGCACGGTGACATCTAAACTTGTTTTTGAAAACTTATTTGAAAATACATGTGCGGGTTGCTGGACTATAGCTGTGTCTGCAATCTTTATCTGTACCCATTTGCTTTGCATAAATACATAAAGATGTCGAAGGGAAGGGAAGGCACTCCCGGTTTGCTGCTGGTTTTCACGTGGCGTCTTTGTGCCACCTAGTGGAGCTGGGTCTTTTCCAGCGATCATGGCACATCCTGGAAATGTTCGGGTTTCTCCACAGAAATTCTAGATTTTTAATATTTCTATAATAAGATACACTAAACTCAAAATATAAGATTTGCTAATAAAGCTATGCATGCCTGAAGCCCATTCATCATTTTGCTGCTGAGATCTGTGATTGCATCGCTTTCAAAAAATCATTGGCTCTTAAGGAAAAAAACCCAACTTTTTTACTTATTCCCTGCTCCAGGAAAGTGAAAAATTGACCTTTGCCAACAAAGGTCTGATGCAATTGAGAAATTTCACTGATATGAAGGAATTAGGGAAAGCTTCAAAATCAAGATCAAAAGATTCACCTCTTTCCTGGTGTCTACTTTTTAAGTTTTCTATCTCTACCACCCAATTCTACCTCTTAAAAATGTGTAGGTGCTGTAGAGAGCAGCACTTTTGGAGGATTGCTACAAAATTCAGCTCTGGTAATCAAGGTGCTTTGTATCTATATATTTTAGATATAAATCCATATAGGTAGCAGTCAATATACTTAACAGCCACCTAAACTTCTGAATTATCAGTGCCCTGTAGATTGTGCCATCACAACTAAAGCCCTGTGGCTTTAGTTGTGATGGTACTGAACATGGAAGAGACTGCACCTCTCAGGGCCTGTATGACTAGTCATCTCTAGACTGCAGGTGAAAAAGTGCTTTCTAGCAATTTGTGTTTATTTCAGTCATAGACTAGCTTTTTACACAAATGTCACTTTGACACAGGAATTCACTGAGCAAGAGCTCACTAAGGAGTGGGAGAATATCAGTTAATGCCCACCTAAACTTGTATTCCTATCAGGCACAGTTGGAGACGAAAAAGGTAAGATATCTCTGGTCCAACCCAGCATGAGTCTTATGGACCCATTTCCTTTTAAGAATATCAGAAGGTCCACTTCTGACTGGGCCAAAAAATTAAGGAACAGACAAAATCTAAAGCTGCAAGCCCTTTTTCTCCAGGGACCATCTGAATCTGGAGAGCTGGCTGACAAAACACATCTTTGTCAGTGGTGGAGGACCTTGAGTCGCGTCATGAATTTTGGTTCCAAAAGTGGAACAGTGGATTGGACTAAGTGCAGCCTGTGCTTTTACCATGTTTTC